GATATAAGCGAGATCTTCGACTGTGGCCGACAGCGTAGTAATCAAAACTTTTACTTGCCGTTACTAGGGCACGTAACGGCGGCTGACTCTCGATGTCCAGCGCGGCTCGCCATATTTGCACGAACGGCGGATAGCAGCAGAAAAAAGAATCGGTCGAAGTGGGCGTCAGCTGGCGGAAATTGAAAAAATAGCGAGAAGAAGGTCTGATCGGACAAGGGATCCGAAAGATGACGAAAGGGGCTGCAATGCCAAGCCAACTGCTTGCCGAGCGCAATCGACGCGTTGTTTTTCTGCGCGGCGGCGCTGGCCAATCGGAGACGAAACGCGAACGAAGCCGCGGAGCGCGACGGCCGCGAGCGCGCACACGAAGCTCGAGGCGAGCTTTCAGGCTGATTAACGCGCGCATCTCGAACGCGTGGCTGCGACGGGCGCTATTCGGCACTGTTAAAAGCTAGTCGAGCGTGCCGAGCGACAAAGTAATTAGGCGGCAAGTAATCGCAGCTGTGTGCGCGGTCGTCTGTCGTGCTCGCGGGCCACTCGACCGCGCGGCTAATTTAATTGGGCTCCGAGCGCGACGCCGGCAAGGGCCGCGCGCATCGATCACTTTTCGCCAGGCACTTTCGCTCGCACACACACAATCGGTACGGCTGCAAGCTGGCGACGCAGTTTCGCGCGAAGAGGCGCAGCGAAGCTAACGCGGATGTCGAGTACACTCCGAGCGACTGAACCGTCGAGGACGCCTTGAGTATCGCGGCGACGTCCCGTGCTCGCCATCAATTATACAGTCAAATACGACAAAGCTGTTAGCGAAATAACGAATAGCGCGCCGGCTGTTATCAAAGTTTTGTCCTGGCTCGAGTTGCTAGTGAATTCGTGGTCGACCCTCGTTTCGTCTCTCATGTTCTCCGTCCTTTTTGCTACCCCGACATTATCCGCTCTACGCTCGATTAAACTTCTGCTCAATACTGCGTTTCATCGGCATTTGTCATGATCAGCGCTAAGGAAGCTCGAGCATAGTATCCTTATATAAACGCGTAAAAAAACTTGCGCTAATTATCGATCGGATCACAACTTCGCAACGATAGCTTACTCCAGTCTAAGTTTATTCGACGTCGGACTTATTCGCTCGTTGGTCTCAAACTGTTGCCCTTCTTTGTTTTTTTTTCTTCCTCGTCTTTTTTTTAACAAGCAAAATTTTCAAACTTACAGTACCAACGCCAGAGTCAGCTGTTTCCAATCAATAGCTTTCAATTTATAAGAAATTTAGTTCATTCCTATCGAAATATACAACTTGACGCTCGCTTATTTTTCAAACCCGAATAAAATTTGTTTCGTTCCTTTAGCCAATTATCTTGCACACAAAACTGTAACCCTCGATCACAATCCTCGAGAATATCTTTTAATAACGTTTCATTGACATCTTTCTGTTCGATTGAATTGTTCTAATAACCAATAACATTGAACAGGCAAGAGTGAAAATGATGAAAGAATTGACGGGACCTGGCAGTGACGATGGGCACAAAAAAGCACGTATAAAAAGAAAGCTTGCAGCAGAACTGCAATAGGATTAGGCTTACGCGGAATGAGCTGTACTCGACGAGTAGGAATGAAGCTTGAAATGATGTTAACGCGAAGTTTGCGGTGCGTGCTTGGCACGTTGCTGCGGCGAGATTCAAAGGGAAAAGAAGAAATCAAAGTTTGTAATGAGAACTGGATCTACTCGAGAAAATTTTCTAAAAAATTGACGAACGAGAAGCAGCAAGGGGGTTATTCCGGTATAATGCGCACCGCGAGAAGACGCGAAGGAAGAAAATATACAGCGGTGGTGTTGTTATGTCCGTTGGCAGCCGCGCAAGCCGTTCACGAGGCATTTATAGCCAGCATCGACTATCGATCGATCGCGTTAAACAATCGCTCGCGATTGTCGTCTCTGCTTCGATGGAGCACGATGCAGCTGCGCGCAGCCGTCTTTGAGCCCGCGAGCAATAAAAGGATGTGAATCACGCGCGAATCGCTAGCGGCAAGCTGATTGCTACCCGGAGCCGGCGTCGCTTTGCCCGTCTGACTCGTTAACGACTCTCGCCGCCAGAAGAATACGAGCTCTCGCTGACTGTTGCATCCAATATCCGCGTCGACGCTCTGGCCATTGACGTGCCCAGCTGCGGCGGAGCTTCATTGGCACGAAACCCCGCAGGCACACCCAGCTGCCTTCTCGTTTGCCGACGCAAACTCGTCGCGGCCGATAACTCGTGGCATTATCCGTCAAGTTGGATTGGCCGCGCGCGACAGCCGTCAGCGAGGCAGCGCAAGCCCGTCGCTTCGGCGCGTCTCTGCACTGCGCGACTCGTGTCAAATGTGCTCGGTGCTCACGAATTCATACGAGCTACGTTATCGCTCGCTGCCGAGGAAATGCGAGCGCGTCCAATTCCGAGCGAATTGATCGTCGCGCTGTTGTCACAGCGAGGAGAGCGTCATGCAAATGGAACTCACCACAGGGAGACCCGAGGCGAGGCTGGCGCTGGAGCGACGAGAGCGCGAAGCGCAGAGCTGCTCGTTCGGGTAGCGCTTGCACGGCACTGACGCGGCCAGGCGAGATTTCGCCGCGACGAGAGGGCGACGGCGCAGCAGCAGCGGCGGCGTTCATCCCCTGCCCGCGCTCTCCTCCTCACCGCTCGGCACGTATCACGACTCCCCAACGCCGTTTGCCTGTTCGGTCGAGGCCCCTAAAAGCCCGACTTTCTCGGCAACCCTTCTTCGTTCGCCACGCATCGGCTGCTAAGCAAACTTCGTATCCAACGCGCTTTCGAAACTGACATTGTCGCGCAATGATCATTTTGATGCGAACAACAACGAGCCGTTACTTGCAATCGTTTCTGGAATTGTTACCACTTGCGACAATCGTCAGATAGGAAAGACGTCGTCGCGTATATCTCGAAGTGCAAGCTCGTCGAATGATCTTTTTAGTCTGTCAACAGACTTTTGTCGAAATTTTTCTTCGTATCTTAATTGAATATATCAGTCGGCACGTAATGAATTCCTCATAGTTTCTTAGTAATAACGAAAAATTTGCCTTACTTGGTTTCCATGGCTATAATCTTGCTTTAATCGTCCATTAGTACGAGTACCGGCCATAGTAGATACAATCGCTGTACCTGCGATCCGGCGATAAGTACTGTAATAATACTTTTGGTATTTGTATGCATGACAAATGTTGCAGAGACGAATTTTGCGCGCAACGGTATAAAACTCTTCTCCAGTGGTGCTTGCCAGTAGATACAACGTACGCGCTCAGAGAAATAATAGCAAAAGTATTTATCTGAGATAGTTAATCGATACGCGCTCGTACATTGCATATAAGGGATGGACTTTTGAAATATTTGTTTACTATTCGAAACAAAGTAAATTTGAGATACGAAGCCAATATCTGAGATCACCCACGTGCACTCACTCAAGGGAAAAGTCCTCCTTCGATCCAACAGTCTGCAACTTTTTCATATAACGATCCTCGTAATTCTCATATAAATACATTCTTTGCGTCACGTCTACTCGTAGTCACGTACATCAACTTTGTTGACGTGCGTGACTATGAGTCGAAGGCGTTGAGTAAGGGAGTCTATTGACAAGAGGACAGCTTAATTTTACGCTTTCCTGATGGCTTATTTTATTTGTATCCCCTCTGCGACCAAAACTCTTGTTAAAATAATGGCAGATAAAACCTCGCGCTAGATGCTTAGGGCAGATCGTTGCATTTTCGCACGGCTCGTATCATGTGTCATTCGAATAAGTCATGTAGCGACAAACAAATTGTATCACGCGGAAGGAAACACACGCGCGTATGATTGATTTTTATTTCCGAGACAAGCGTTATTAAATTTATGTTCCTTTTAACGATTGCTTTAGACCATTTGAAGCCGTGTTAACACTCATTTTGCGCTCATTCTGGGTTTATCTGCGAATAAAATTGATTTTTCGCAGACAGGAAGACAGTAATAGTATAAAACAACTGTAATCGCCGGAACATCTGGCGAGTACGAGCTGCACTCATCATGAAGGCGCTATGTCCCGATATAATATGCCATCACGAGCTCCGCGAATGTTTAGCTAGCGAGATTAATTTATCGAAAAACAAAAATCTTTTACGATTTTGGAAGCATTCCCTGGCAAATGAGTCCACTACCGTTGGTATTGCTTAAACAGTTTCTACGCAGATATGCGTGAACATACATAACAAATTTCAGTACAAATCCCTTACTTTTTTAAATCGACAAACCGAAATTTTATAATAAAGCGACTTAAAAAAAAATTTTATGAGGAAGCGACCATTACTTTGCGAATTATTTTCCATCGTAAATATCAAATTACAGAATGGAATTCAAAATTGTTGTTATTCTTGAAAATCCGGTAAGAAATAACATGGAAAAATAGCTCGGTCTTGTCAAACAAAACAAAATTGTTACGTCAATCAACAATGAATAAATGAGCCCATCGGCCATAAGCAATACGAAAATGGGCATGTAGCAAATACTCCGGGTCGTATAAATGTCAAAACGAATAAAAAATTGAATAATAAATAATTACAAAAAAAGTATCCAACGCAAAATGAGATAGCCCAGTTATAAATGAATACACCATATATACATACTTTTAATTATTTTTCTAATGCCTGTATAATATTTCTTCGTCAATTTTCATCGTGAGAAACACTTTGAGTATATCACAAATTTCTCTCCGAATTCAGCACGTACTACGAGAATAGCAATCTCTATGACTGGCCATCCTTCAAAATTGCCATATTGAGAATTTGTTATTGTTTTATTTGCGGTGCACTGGCGCATATTACGAAGGCTGTAACGATTCGATTTGAATCGTCCCGCTAAACTACACGTATACGCGCGTGTATATGATGGGCCCATGGTGCGACCATCGACCGCGCATGCGTGGCTAAATAATAAAACTGAGTGGCGTTTGCCGCCCTCCTCCTTTTCTGCTGCGTCGTACCACTATAACCGATCATCGCCTCTCTGCGACTGGCCAAGGTCGTTCGTCACCGTCGCACCGGTGTCCGTTGCTCAAGCACTTTGCTATTTCGTTAACTCCGAGAGAACGCGCCGAACTCCGCACTACGGCGTCCGATTGCTTCGGTGTCTCCGAGACGGTTCAACGTCACGCCGGCAAAGTACTCGTCGTCGTTTATGACGGCTTCAAAGTCGACCAGTAGTCCGTTGGTGGTCCAAGAATAGCGCAGGAATTGAGAGCCAACGACAAACAAATGGTTCTCCGCATACGTAAGAAATGCCAAATAAATATTGTAACTTGCTACGCTGAATTTGAACGTCAAGCAAATGCCGTCATAACCAATGCTCATACATTTTAATTGGACTTCATTGACTCACTTGATCTGATCAATTGTACGGAATCCGTGTGTAATTGTATGGAAGCGCGATCACGTGGACTTATCTTAACTCCGTACATACGCTGTAGAAAGCCTCAAATACATATGTTTTGAATCAGTTGCAACAAATTTAATAGTATGGACTGTACCGTGGCCTTGCTGTTATTCTAGCTTATCCTTTCCTTCGCTCTTCCGACTCTTATGTACTTATTTGTTTTTTATGGTATCGTCTGATCCTCCTAGCATTTTGGTAGCATTTTAAAGTTGAAAATTTGGCGCGTTTTTGCGAGGAAATATACTCGGACAAACGCACTCATTGCTAATCAATTGTGTCTTCTCGTATTGTGATATTCCTAAATCAAAAACCACTCAGCGATTATTCAACAACTCATAAAAATTTGTCTTAGCGTATTTTTTTAATTACATAAATCTTAGCTTAGAGATGAAATGAATTTTTATTGACAGAATCTGGTATAACAGAGCTTAAACGTATCTAAAATATCAATGCCGTCTTAACATTATTCTGAACGATTGTATCAAATAGATAAACAAATGTGTCGAATGACGGAGATAACAATTATAATCTAAGTTTAAAGTGGCTCAAAATGAACTTATGTGGCATTAGAAAATACGTGTGAGTCAAAGTATGTACTTTAGACATAAAAGCTCCAAGATTATTCCAATTTGACAGATGAGTAAATCAATCCGGACAGCTTCATCTACGATTATTCAGTTAAATTTGCATTATGGTCGATTGACTAGATGTTATTTGGAATTAGAAATAAAAAATGGGCAAAATATCCCCCGACTCTGAATTTATGTTAGAACATTAATAAACTAATCAAATAGTTTTGGGATGATGAACTAATTATATCAACTTATCCACTACAAAATATCACGAAATTTCGTCTGTATATTTGATTACTTTGCTATATTTTTAATAGTGCCGGCACAGGGCCGGCATTGATAATATACGGTCTTTTGGATTGTGAAATCCTCAACTCAATAAAATTTAGCATTATCCTCGGCTGTCGAAGTCGAAAAAATCGATTGAAGAACCGATTTAAGATTTTTCAGATTAAAGAAAATCAAGCAAATATTCTTTGCGGTATTTCATCAGCTATGATAGGCCAAGATCTTTAAGAGTATATTATTGATAAAAGAAGTGAATTACCTAGGCCCGATAAAACGGGATCTCAGTACAACACACCAATTTGCTTTCAGAAAGCTTTTCACTTTCGATAGAGAACCTAATGTTACTTATACTTCGAAATGCTAAAAAATATATTACTAGTAAAAAACATTTGAATAGGAGAGGTATTAAAAAATTTAGCGTCGTAGTGTCGTTTAATATAAGCCTATTTAAAAATTTGCCATCTCATTTGAAAAGCCTTGCCCTCATAGATCGATAAGTTGTTTCTGCAATCGACATCTTTTATCGATAAGATATACTTATAAATTGAAACAGATAATATAAAATAATACCTGAAACGTTATATAAAATAGTTCGATCTACAACTGAATGTAAACTGGCTTCACGTTTTTTGCTTTCTCATTCGAGTGAATCATTATTGCCGTAGATGAGAGGAATGATATTGGAATGACAATCACAATTTCTACTAAGAGGTGTTATATAGCTCATTTTGAGTAAATATTTTGTAAAACTAGCTTTAAATAATATTGACATTCTGAAAAAATAAATGCTAATTAATCTATACAGCCATAAGAATAATGATTATCTAATAATTATCAGTGGCGTTTTTCAAGAGAAATTATTAGCGTTATATATATAGTTGATCAGCTGCTATCATTTCCAATATACGTATGCGTTGATCTTGTGACGCAGTGTTCAAAAAAGTGCAAATCATTTTTATTTTGCCCACTCGTGAAGTATGCAAAGTTACTACGCAGAGGAGAAAAACAATATCCGCATAGCCGTACCTAGATGATTATCTCTAACCATAGTGGAAACTCTGAGTGATTGAAAATCAATTGGGATGGACTAAGGCTTCCGACCCGTGGCCCGTACTGTTCGTCCTCTACGTCAATCACCTGCAAAACTTACTTGAGCGATGCACAAAGAAAAGCCTATTCCGCGAAGACGACCTGCAAATTTGATTGCACGCATCCAAAGATAAAGATAAAGTTCACGAATGATCTGTCGGAAGCAACACTTCTGGGTTCTGCTTGGGCCCGGTCGTACCTCGAATTCCGACAGAAGCAAAGCTATTTATGTTGGTTCAATAAAAATCGTCGATAATAATTGACTCCGGGAAGGTGTGGTTCTCGGTTATTACATTGCACAGCGAAACGACATGGAATCCGCAGATAGACTCTGTAACGGACTCTCTAATAAAACTACGGTTTTTCAAGGACTAAGACTCTGCGCAGAACGCCTGCCCGAATTATCGTGCCGCGCTGATATCGACGCTTCGAACTATATAGCAGCGTATCCGCTTGCAGCGCCTGTACAACGTCTGCGTGCGCGTCATTATTGGAGTCAGGTGGAATGAACACATCCCGCGGGAACTGGCTGTTCCGATACGACACCGAGAACCAGAACTGCTTCTAGAGCCTTTTGGAACTCCCTCTTCCGCGACTTGCGCAGCTCACCGTCTCTCGACACTCGACGTAACGCCTCAGCGGATGCTAATCGACCGCGTAGGCTACTTGCATAGCTCACTGTTGCCATTTGATGTGACACAAGACCTACTCTTTGCTTAACATTGACGTGAACTATTAACGTTTCCGTGATTGTGCTTTTAACGATGCATCTCAATCGAACTGACATCAAGTACTCTGAGTACTCGATATTCATTAGCACTTGCTAATAAAAGGTTATTATTTACTTTGTTCTGCATGGGCAAATAAGAGGGATCTTATCTAATCTATACCAACCCTTTTTTTCTTCGCGACGTCTACCAACAATCTAATTGGCGACGAACTCTGCTCTAATAGCTGACGGGTAATTTTCATAGCTCTTGATATTCAATAATATGCATATACTTGCCTACGCTCAAGTCATCATGACATAAAAACAGAGCTCGCTTTTTCCTGATGTGACTTTGCAATACAAAAGCAATTTACAACTTCTTCACTGTCGGTATGTTTTGATTTTTCAAATCCTTACACCTACGCGACAGACGCTAGCTGATAAATGTTCCTTCCGCCATAATTCTATACAATTTATCAAAGATTACTCACGATGAGTAAGTTTTTTTCTACATTGAAATTCAACATACGCATTCAATCAAGTAAACTCAAGCAACATTCACTTATAAAATACCAAGCTTTCAAACCGCGCCTTTTATTTCTATCATAGATGTTAATATTTATTCATTGGTTGAATCACAAGATTATAATTTTAATGCATTTTTTTTCGAAGGTTTTATATTTTCTTGCGATTTGATGTTGTTTAATTTCAATAAGACGTAAAGCTTTTTAATTTGCTTAAATAGACCAATCAAACTTTCCATTTCTCATTTATTACATTACTTGTCAATTCACAATCCATTTATATAGTATTTAAGTAGCAATAAATACGGTATACGCGTTCATGATAATTTTGTAATTTCTAGATTGTTAGCGACATCAGCTAAGAATCCATCAATATGGCGCTAATCACCCGTGTTGTTATTGCACTCGCATGCCTCTGCCAGTGCATCGACGGATTGCGAATATTAGGTTTATTTCCTCTGCATGGAAAAAGTCATTTCGTTATGTGCGAGAGGCTAATGAAAGGCTTGGCTGAGAAGGGCCATCAAATAGATGTATATAGTCATTTCCCTCAGAAGAAGCCTGTTCCAAATTACAATGACTTTAGCCTCGACGGCACGCTACCAAAAATAGTCAATAACATGTCCTATGACGTTTTTAAACAATTTCAAACTGTCAACATGGAAATAATGATGAAAGAAATCGCCAATCCAGTCTGCGATTTGCTCGACATACCTATATTTCAAAAGCTTATCCAGGACTTGAAAACGAATCAACCGTACGACGTTGTTATCATCGAAGTAATTTAAAACTTGTACTCGCATCGCGCGATTATAAGCTCTACTGACATACGTTTTCGCTTGAAATATAGGTGTTCATATCAAATTGCTTTCTTGCCTGGGGGCGACATCTCAACATTCCGATGGTGGGAATAATGACTAGTACATTGTTCGACTGGTACAACGAGCCACTAGGAAATCCGATGAACACGGCCGTCACTCCCGCCGTCTGGTCGGGATTATTTCACCCGATGAGTTTCTGGCAAAGGCTGAGCAATACTCTGCTCTACTGGACAGTCAGTGGACAGTTCAACTATTACATTCGCGACCAGAACAGGTACGTCGAGAAACACTTTGGCAAGGACTACCCTGACGTGACCGACCTGCCGAAGGATCTGGATCTGCTGCTGATCAATTCGCACTTGTCCCTCGACGGCGTTCGGTCGTTCACGCCCAGTATCATACCGGTCGCGGGTGTGCACATCGACGACGACGCCGCCAAGTTGCCCGCGGTAGGTGCATCCAAGCAGTGCTGCTGCAGTGCTGGCCACAATCCACTCTGATTGCTCGTTTTGCTTTGTTTGCAGCAAGTACAAAAGTGGCTAGACGACAGCAAGCACGGCTGCATCTACTTCTCCTTCGGTTCCATGGTCAGAATCGAGACCTTCCCGCGAGCAGTCCTCGACGCCTTCTACGCCTCATTCCAAAAGCTGGCCCCCGTGCGAGTGCTCATGAAAATTGCCAAGCCGGAAGTGCTGCCTCCGGGTCTGCCCTCCAATGTCATGACGCAGCCCTGGTTCTCTCAGCTGCAAGTGCTAAGTAACTAGACTCGCCCCGTTAACGCCAGTCTCGAGTAGACTGACCACTCTCGATGTCGACAGAGCACAAACACGTGATAGCTTTCGTCACGCACGGAGGACTGATGAGTACCTTGGAGTCCATTTATGCCGCTGTGCCCATGGTTGGCATCCCATGTTTCGGTGATCAAACGCTCAACGTTCAGACGCAAGTTCAGCGCAAAACTGCAACGTCGATCAAACTGGACGAAATTACGGAAAGCAGCGTCACCTGGGCCATTCGGGAAGTGATTCAAAATCCCATTTACAAGTGAGAGCAGACATGGAAGCAAGTGGGAGATGTCGACTAATTACGCGATCAATAACGCTGCCTCGATTGCTTTCGCAGGAAAAACGTGGAGCGGCTGTCCAAAAAGTTCCTCGATCGTCCCATGAGTGCCATGGACACTGCGATCTTCTGGATCGAGTACGTCACTCGACATGGAAAGAAGGCATTGAGAGCGCCAGTCGTCGACATGCCTTGGTGGCAGGCTCACTTGATCGATGTCTACGCTTTTATCGCGTTCACGCTCGTAGTGGCTTATTATTTACTCAAATGCAGTCTCAAACTCATCATCAGACGTTGCTGCCGCTTTTCCAAAAATGCTCAAAGCAAGAAAGTAAAAAAGCATTAGGAACTTTTCCGATCAAAATTTTCTGTAATTATATGACATAGTTTGAATTGTTTTATCATACATCGTTTCTATCATTAGTGATAGAATTGGTTCAGCGCGCTCATCGTTTTCGCCTTTCTTCACATTCATTTTAATACACGAATGCAGATCAAAACTTATAATGGCCAAATTGAAAATATGACAATTCAATATACATATTAAATATTCCCATGATTTCATATGAGATATAACCGACTCATGATTAAAAAATGTTATCAATGAAGTTTGAGCGAGTTCTTTATTGGAAATTCATCAAAAAGTTCCAAAAACATGACAGAAAATGTAATATAAGCTATAAAAACACCATAGCGTTTTATATAACCATATCTTTCATGGTATATAAACAGCACACTTCGGTATATATTCACGGTTATAATTAGTGCATTGTCAAAAAAATTTTCTAATGTTTTATGTAACTGAATACAGCCAAAAGCACTGTACAATATTGTAGTCACAATCTACGATTTATATCTTTTATTGCCTATTTTGTTTATTCGAAGCTAAACTTATTCGCATAGTGCTAAATTCAATTAATTTCTCTATCGAGGTATCGGACGGTTTTTATTTTAAAACTAGTGTGAATAAATCAATCAATTCAATTAAATTTATGCCACTTATACGCATATGCTTTCGAACGAAAATCTGCAATAATCTTTCATGCATGTACACAACAGACATATACTATCACGTAACAAATGCTCCTGTGACTATTCTTTGGCCAATAAAATCACGAATAAACTGCCTTCACTTTTCAGGCTATTACATTTTTAAGAAATTATGATAATTAGGACATAATGCAGTTAGAATACATATAAAAATTTGTATTCCATTACTGATTTCCTTTATTAGAATCGCCAGATAAGCAATTGTTACTGAAAGTACGACTACGCTTTATCTTTGACAAAACCGTCAAATAAGTTTCTGAAAATTATTGGCAAAATCATTCTATAATACAAGCTACCTATTAAAACAAGATCAAATTTTTACACTTGAATTCTTATGATATAAGAAACCGAGTTCAAGATATACAAACTCACTTGGTACAATTAAAATTAAAGATATTTAACTATATAACTAAGGTTAAAAAAACTTTAATTAGTAATAGTTCATTTACGATATTTAATCTGTCACCGTATGAATTTATGAAGGTATCGATTTAGTGTGATTTCAGACTGGAAATATTTTAGTTTTAATATTAATGTTAACTATAATTATGATCACGGCAAAACCTTAAAATCATATGTGTTTAAATTTAAACGTTTTAAGTGTGTAATTGTGACGTCGCCCATAAGAAATACATTGTCGCTGAATTTAAACGTTTAGAAGACCGATGCGAAAACAGCTCGACACAAATAACATTTTATAAAAAAAAATGATCACATCTCACGTATGTCTAATTGTACTTCTCGAAAAAATAATTATTTGTTATTGTACCATTATATTTCTCAGAAAAAATAAAAAATATCGTTATCGATAATTCACCTCCTATTTATTCACATAAAAGACATAATTAAGCAAAAATAAATCCACAGAAAAATTGTACCTTCTGTAGTCTAAATTGTACCATGAGTACAATTCTATAAATTTGTTTCTAAAAGAAATAATAGGACAATTACAAATTACCACTAATTGTTACAACTTACAAGTGTCATCCGGAAATGCACTTTGCGCAGGCTTTGTAATTGTCCTATTATTTCTTTTAGAAACAAATTTATAGAGCTGTACTGATGGTACAATTTAGACTACAGAAAGTACAATTTTTCTGTGGATTTATTTTTGCTTAATTATGTCTTTTATGTGAATAAATAGGAGGTGAATTATCGATAACGATATTTTTTATTTTTTATGAGAAATATAATGGTACAATAACAAATAATTATTTTTTCGAGAAGTGCAATTATACATACGTGAGATGTGATCATTTTTTTTATAAAATGTTATTTGTGTCGGGCTGTTTTCGCATTGGTGTTTAGAAGTGTTTAAAATTGAGGACAATGTATTTCTTATTGGTGACGTCATATTAAACGTTTAAATTTAAACACATGGGTTTACCGTGGATATAGCTAATAACACATATTATATATAATATACACAATGAATAAGAGGTTAATGTTTCTTTTGCGAATGGACAATTTTCTCGAGTCTGCGCATACTAGTATCACCAACTGTATTGCTACATAATAAATAAAATAAAAATAAATATCCATACCGAAATTAAATATATGGCTGTACGAAACTAGAAATAAGAGTGTTTATTTATTATTTATCATTATTTCTGTATCAACATTACAGTCTCATTTTTGTAGCTTAAAAGTCTAACAAGCCTTAACGTCTAACACTCTTGCAATATGTACTAAACATAATCACCAAAGGAAGCTCATATATAATTAATACAGTTTTCAAAAGAGATATGATGCAACAAGAGATACAAATTATCCCGTGATTCTCGTTAAAAAATGTAACATTTGAAGGCACTCATTTAAGAAGCCGCTTTGGCATCAATCGAAGTTTGCACGCATAATTATGATGTTTCACTTTTTCATGTTTCAATCATCGTGAACCGCAATTTCCATTTAGTCATCGAATTATAGAAATAGATAAAAATACCAACCAATAATAGATAAAATTGAAAGTGCCACTCTTGATATAGATATCGAATACCTATTCTAAGAAAAAGCGATGGCCTGTTGCGTGAAGTTATTTTATTCGTAATCTCATCGGCTAAAAGGTAGTCGCAAGGCTTATAGTTATATGACAGTATGTATGTGTATGTACATATTTGATTATAGTGTAATTCAGCACAGCGAACATGTCCGGTAAATTGGTGCTAATTAATAGCTCGAGGCGTTTCACATATTGATCATTAATTACGTTTATTTCCGGGAAATATAAATTTATTAAATGTATTTAATTTTTTCAAAGGATCAGCTAAATATTATTGGTTACATATTATCAGCTTCATATAGATATAATCAACAATGAGAACTTATAAAACTCTAGACTATTTCCCGTAAGATACTGTGAAGTGATTCTGCTCATAATTGCAATAATTTATTTTAAAAAATTCTTAAATTAAACTTACAAATGTAAAAGAAATTTCAAAAATGTAACGAATGAATAATTGTAAAGTATGTTACGTTGTTTGTTGGAAGTGAAAATTTTCAAAATTATTTTAAGATAAAAAACGGCATAAAATTTAAAGACATAATTTACAGTATTGTTGATGAAATATATATCTATTGACATGAATATATCTTACAAAAAGTTTGAATTCATCAGAAAGAAAATAATTCGACGGTTCCTAGCGATAAACGGCTATCTGATAGCGGTCAGGATAAAAGAGAATTATCTCATCGATAACTAAAAAAGGGACTGTCTCGTGGCCACTTCAAAGAGGTGATATCACGGTGCGGGATAATTCAATAGAGGGCTGTCATGGCCATCAAACTTATTCAATCTTCATGGCTTTTGTATGTACAGCCCTTATAGCAATTAGAAAAACGTAATTTGACAGACTTTATATAGTTTTTTATTGGCAAACTAATGTTGATTACAAAATATTAATGAATTTGATTTTATTTCTGTGAGCGATGTCAGACAAATGTTCTTGTATAAATACTGACGACAAAGGCCAAATCAAAATTGAATCCATGTAACTTGATTTTCAAAGCTTTTCTTTGTCGTTCATTATATCTTCAAAATAATTCGTATCAATTATGACAAATTGATGTTTCACTACCAAAAGCTCAACTTGAAACCGTATGTATGTATATAACCGTTAATTTTCCGCCACGTAGTACATATATTTCATGAACACATCTCAGCCAATCATATTACGAATAAAATGTTTCAATGTGACATCCATCAGTTTTTTATTAGGAGAATATAGGAAAATATAGAAATAAAATAAAATAATAAGGGCCTGACAGGAGTCATAAGTTGGAAGCTACGTGAAAATTAGATGATTTCAAATCGACAGACAAAATAGCCCTTTATTGAATTATCTGCCAGCATAGCACCTTTTTTATCTGACGGCCGGATAGCACCTCTTCGAACTAGCCACGAAATAGCCCTTTTTCGGATTATCGATGAGATAGTTCTTTTTTATCGTGACTGGTGAGATAGTCCTTTATTGCTAGAAATCGTTACCATGTTAAAAAATAAAGAAATTCTAATTGTTAACTAGGTACAGCTAATAGTTTGATTTATTAGAATAAAAAAAGTGGAAGCCAACTTGGTGTGTTACCCATCGTTGCCCCATTGTTACTGAACTTAAGTATCAATGCAGTTAGATGTTTATTTGCCAATTACTGGCAAATATTGAGCACATCAAATCATAGAATTATTATGTTTTATTTTGTCTATAACAGCTTTGCGGCACTACTATTGGTGCGAAAAAGATAGTCATCTGATTGTTAAAGCATACATCTTGAGGGGAAGAATCACATGGATATGAACTTTACTTGGCGCTGAAGCTTATAGATCTACTGATTCGTCTGCGGTTCATCTAGACCAATTAACAAAAGTACAGCGGCAATGGAAAGACAAAAAACACGCATTTTCGAGCTGTTTCGGACGCAGACAATAATTGCTCTATAAGAATAAAAAAATCACTTACTTTATTTGTATAAAATAGTAGTTGATTCAGATAAAACTTTGAATTATAAATTAAATTATTTTCCCAACGTTTCAAGATTTTCTGATAAAATAGTAGCTATACGAAGTTGTTCGCGTCTGAAATAACTCGAAAATCCGTTTTTTTCCATGCCGCCACAACTACGTTAATTGATCTAAATGAATTGCTGACAATTCAATGGATGCTCGAGGTCTTAAGCTTCAACGCTGTGTAAATTCTATTTTCATGTGATTTTTTTTACAAAGATGTTCCAATAATACAAAAACCTTTTACCTTTTATTTTTTTGAAAAATTCAGAACGCTTACGCGTTTTTCTTGGTGAAAAAACGCGTGTAAAAGGTTGATAAAACAATTGACGAACGATTCGTGAAGAGTGTGTGAAAGGTTTTTCATATAAACATTTTATTCTGGATACTGCAAAGAATCACAAGCTGTCTAGCGATAATCATTGCAACAAATTATCATGTACGCAGATATCCATACTGAGCAAGAGTGATAATTTTCATTAACATCAGTATTAATTGCAATGATTACCGCTACAGGGCTTATGATTCTTCGAAAGAAGCAACTTTGTCTGGAGCGTAACCAAGCTCATATTGGGACATTCAAGAGTCAAAGATGAAGAAAGATTGGCAAGGTGTGCAACCAGCATGTATCCTATCCAAAGGGACTGTATACAGGAAATCAAGTAATAAAAGAGTTTCGGCACTCGTAACTATCAGACTCTTGGCTGTTCCGCGCGACACCTTACAGTTGAATCGCAATATAGAGTCACAAATGCTAGTCGATAAGTCTGGTCGGTATATAGGACAAATGCAGATGACGCACATTCTATAACAAAAATACAAGAACAATTTACATTCAAATTGTCACTCTATTAACTAAGCACATTACAAATGATTAAGCATCTATACTTCAACCTAAGCCCATGAAAGAATCTATGACTATATTATGATGTACTAGTTATAATTATTAAAATAAAACAAATTGTAAAAACTTTAAACCAATTATTATGCACTGAAGCTCGAATAGAGCAAAAAGTGATAATGTGAATTTAAAATAATAAATGGATGAAAGGATGACGCTACTGATAAAATATAATTACAATTAACATATTATCTGGATTAAATTAGAACGGATTTGCGTTTGGTAATACCAATTACCAGTTCACAATTGATAACAATTAGTAAGGGTATCTAAATGATTGTGAACTATCTGAATGATAAAATAATTAAAATAGAACCAACTTGTAATGAATATTATAATGAATGTGTAATGTTTATTATTCAGAGAGAAAAAAAACAAATCCAAAGGACTCTAACATTGTTTAAATTATTTTGAAAGAAAGATGAAAATAAGACAGATCCAGAGGACTTTGTAATATTATTTATAGGATACTTAAAAAGAATGGTTAAAAAAAAGTAAACAACTGACATTTACTTTTATTGACCAGTGTTACCATAAACTACTGGAATTCAATAAACGTCAATCAGCGCTTATTAGTAACTGGAATACAACGGAAAATCTTGTATACAGTGTGAATTTTTTTTTTTTATTTACAAAAAAAGCAACACACATATAACATATTTGCTTTTTTCTGTTGCTTCTTCCATTTGTACATTTTCCTATGCAATATCAGCACTGACACTGATTGGTTTTTGGTACATTGATTGCAGGGATTGTTTTTTCTTGTTTACACGATACTCAAGTTCTTGCGCCTTTTCTGTTGCATACTAAAACAGAATATTTTAAATAAACGTTTATATTACGTAGAAGCGTGACGTTTAAAACCGCAGCAGTTAACAAATATAAAAATAATGTTAAAACTTATTGCTACATTCATATCTCTTACAGGTTGGGCATTTTGCTTCAATGTTTTTCTTTTCAATCATTTATAATGACCTTCCCATTAATGGTCATCACGTTATCGGCTATATTTAAATCTTTATGCAAAAAGTGTAGCTCCAAATTCTGTAAAAGAAGTAATTAAATGTATAAATATTGTCTTCGATAGATACGTATCGTTTATTCTTTGCCATATAGATATAATGCGTCATAAATTATTTTCTTACCTTCGGCACTCCAAACAAACAGCATTTGCGAGTTCCATCGGCATTTCTTTGCTTCATATCTTTTGCAGTACCTAGCATAACATGAACTTTTCCGATTGTTATTAGCTGAAAGTACTAACACACTAGATAAGATGGATGTGGTCAATCAAAGCGCCTATTTTCCAAGATGCATTCGCAACAAAAAAAATAAAATGAATAGACATCTTAGTATTCCCGTTTGACGTGTATAAAGCTTACCCATTTTTTTGACGATTCCTATTGGAAATGATGCTCAAAAAATTATTTTGTTAAGAATATGGAATTGTTACTCCACACTTGCAGTAAGGAATAATCAAATGCGTGTTTAATAAGTGTAACTTCATTCATTCGTTTGTTCATTAAAAAAAATGTCACCGAAACTTCAGCGAAATCAATAATAAAGATTGGCTCAGATGAATTCAAAAGGTAAAGATTTGATCGATTACCTAAAAAACTTTTTTTCAATGGGGATGCATATTAAATTTTCGAATTTTCAATGTCGCCAATAAAAGTTTTAATATATTCGTGCATAGAAAAGAATGTGAGAAAAATATAATATACAACATCATATGCTGCTACGTTATTAAATTTAAAATGGTTACTGGATTGGAGTACCAACGTCATTGAATATTTACTAATTAATATCGACGGATATTGAGCATTTGAAATCATATTATTTTATGTGTGCAGTATATTTGAGAATTTTTAATTTTCTTTATAACAGTTATGACTTAATTCAAGTATCAAACTACATATTAATATTATATGTATGTGTGAGTTTGTGTGTGTGTGTGTGTGTGTGTGTGTGTGTGTGTGTGTGTGTGTGTGTGTGTGTGTGTGTGTGTGTGTGTGTGTGTGTGTGTGTGTGTGTGTGTGTGTGTGTGTGTGTGTGTGTGTGTGTGTGTGTGTGTGTGTGTGTGTGTGTGTGTGTGTGTGTGTGTGTGTGTGTGTGTGTGTGTGTGAACCAGAAATGGGCGTGCGAAGAGCGCTTGATCAAACTCGTTGGCTTCTTAAAAATAGAACTATAGCCTTGAGGGAGATAAATTATCGATAAAGGTGTACATATCTAGTCACTAGAGAAGTAATTGTGTTATCAGGAACTTTGAAAAATAACAGTTAGCTGTGTAAAAAAACATGCAAGTCATCTGTGAAATATTTACAATGTAGAAATGTATAATTTATTTATTTGCAGTTATATTTAGATATCTTTATCATCAGTATACTTTAAATAATTTATAATTTTTAAGAACTTTTTGCTTAGCATGTGTTCTTTCACGAACAGATGAAGCACGTTTCTTTTCAGCAAGCCATTTTGTTATTTGACCATATCAAAGCTTATTGCGAATTGGTGTTTCTGTAGACTTCGAAATTAATTGTCGATCGGAAAAATGCATTTTCAAAAGAAAGTGGCATTGAAATCGATGCTTTAGCATTCTATTAAGGATTCTTTAATAAATATTTAGTTTTTACGTTATTATAATTCACAATATAGTTTAAATAAATTTTTTAATCATTGTTAAACAAAAACAACCGTTTTTTAATCTTCACTTTTCCTTTTACCTATTCCCACCATCAGCTTTTTCATCAACTATACGTAACTGGAAGTTGATAAGGATCAGCCGAAAAATTAAAAAAAATGGTTGTCGTTAACAATATTATTTTGAAATTGAAATTGACAAGATGAAAAATGTTGTAAATTCTACGGAAATTTTGGTATTAAGTTATTATGTATATTTCGGTGCTAGTGCAGGATAGCGAATTCCAAGTCCACACGAAGATGAATTTTTGTCCCGACGATGGAAGAAGATTCAGCGTATTTGCGAGCGCGTGCGTCAACGAATATTTTCTGTCGATATATCTATCTATCGACTATCAATCGAGGCGCGCTTCGCCCACAGATTGCAATTTGCAATGGCAAGCACTAAAGACAAATTCAACTTGGAATGTTTCCGAACAATTAGCAATTGTGATCCGAGAGCGAATTTTCACGAAAACTCGACGTATTGCTCATTTATTTCATCGGATCGTTACACAATCGCAGTACGTTACAGCGCAAAGCTCATTTCTGTGCAAGTCTTAGATTACATTGTTCGTTTGCCGTATGTGCACTTTTTCCTCGTTATTACTTTTTCACGTGCTGATCAATGAATGACGGCAAAGACCAAAACTTTTGTAGGCCACTTCACGGCCATACATATCCGATCCTAGAGCACGAAAGCGCCTTTTCAACTTGAAATCAGTAAGATATCATCAACGAAGATTTACGCTATCTCTAATAATAGAAAGATACGCTCACTTCGGAGCGATAACATTTCGCATAAAGCTTTCGATTGATTATTTGTCGAGGAAAATTTTTCTCGAAGCATAGAAAATATTGCAATTTGTGCTAGGCCACTTATATCGTACATTCTAACACTGCATTTATGACAGACTGAACCTCGCATCTAAACGCATAACCCAATAGTTCACGAGTCTATCGACCAACCGTCTTCGAACAAGGAATAAGCTCTTCCATTTACTCTCGTGAATTAAGCGCGCGTCGCTTAATATAATTCGCGTGCAGCTTGATGCTTGAATCAAATGAAAACCGTTATCAGGAAAATGTCAAGTTCTCAAATACACTGCATACGTGGAAGAATTTTGATTGGAAACGCTCAAGGTCCGTCGATGCAAACTAGTGAATTATCGAGGAACGAATCGACAGCCCAGCAAAATGGGTGTACGCGGCTATACGACGTGGCTCGGTGCAGTAGGCGAGGCTCGGTCAGTGCAGCGGCGAGTGCACTGGTAAATGGTCGTCGGTTGCGATCGGTCGCGGGCAGAAAAGCGGCAGCGGGATGGAGCGCTGGGCGAAAAAAGTGGCAGTGGTGACCGGGGCCTCGTCGGGCATAGGCTTGGCCACGGCCAAGGCTCTCGTTCGCAACGGCCTCACGGTCGTGGGCTTGGCTCGCAACGGCGCCCGCATGAAGGTACGCGCGAGCTTGCTCTCCTCTCGTCGCGAGCGTTCAAGGCGCGCAGCTATGCGAGCCACTTGTCAATTTGATCAAGGAAAGAAGCTCGTGCTCAAAGCCTACAAACCGCGAGCGCCAAGCTTGCCACATTGCAGTGACGCCTGTGACTATAGCTGCGACTATATATAGTTTTCCTGCTTTCGTTCTGCCTAGCTGTCCGCGGATACGCCTGCGCGCCATGCTGTTCGATCATTTTCACGTCGACTCGTAATCACCTTCGTTGCGCCAGCCATTACAACCAATTACACAGCCACGACCAAATCACAATTATATTGTTTACTCTATCGATCAATTCTGGCTATATCATCCACGCTTATACCGATTATCTCTTGCTACACCAGCAATAATAGCCAACTTGCTGGCCGCTCTGCCGATCGGAAACTGTTGCACTCAATTGACAATGGCACGGTGTCCTTGACATAATCGGGAAATCTGTGAAAAACAGGACAGAAGCAACGATATACGTGAACGAACGGTTGCAGGAGGCCATGAAAGGCGTGAAAGGCCCTGGCCAATTTCACGCGAAAGAATGCGACATCACGCAGGAGGAAAGCGTTGTCGAGACTTTGAATTGGGCTTACAAACGCTTCGGCTCGCTCAACGTTCTGATAAACAATGCCGGCAGTATGACTTACCAAACAATAGAAGGTTTGTGCAAAGCCCCGACCAGATTCACACGAGCGTTCACAACTATCCGCTTTTCAGACTCGCCCACATCAGACCTGGAGAGTGTTATCAAAGTGAACCTGATGGGGCTGCTATACGCAACCAAACGAGCAACCACACTGATGAAGGACACTCAAGAAGACGCTCACATTGTCAACGTGAATAGGTGACTCGTGAATGGATTCGGAAAGAGAGAGCATCGAACTAATTGCTTTTCCACGCTGTCTCAGTGCTTACGGCCACAGCGTTCCACCTTGTTATCCAAATATGTCATTCAACGTCTATGCCGCTGCCAAATTTGCCGTCAGGGCTTTATCGGAAACCCTAAAACATGAATTAGCAGGCTCCAAAATACGAGTCACTGTGAGTATTTTATGATAAACGAAAACGATGTAATGAGAACGTCGAGCAATCTAGTTAAGATTGGAGTAGAGCTGGAATTGCCATATCGAATACACCGTGTCGTGTAAACGCAGGAGGTGAGCCCGGGTCTGGTGAGAACGGGCATGGCAGCGAACACCGCCGAGGTGGTCCCAGGGGTGGAGAATCTGCCGCACCTGAACCCGGAAGACCTCGCGAGCGCCATTATTTACGCACTGAGCGTTCCGCCTCACGTTGAAATCAACGAGATAATGCTACAGGCTCGAAACGCTTAGCCCCAGCCCCACACGTTCCTCTGACAAGACACCGCATGTCATTTTCTACTTTGTCACGAAAATAATGAAGCTCTCGTTCGCTCACCCCGCACAGCTGTTCTTTATTAACAAATTCGTTATTAAATTCAGTGCTCGCTTAGATTTGCCTTTATCGCAATTAAATACGCCCGAGAATCCTTCGACGGAATCGCGATCAGCGATACCGGCTCGTTCGTCAGAGGTGCCGGGATGACGCGATGACGGAGCGAAAATCTCGAGAGCCCCGCGAGCGCGCAGTTGGAAACGAGAAAACGTCGGATAATGCGAGATGGCGCGCCGCGCTATCGGCCTTGGCGTTTCGCAGCGAACGCGCGCTTGGTGTGCCGCGGCTCCAGACAGTCGGCCACTCGCACCACGACGATCAACGCGCGCCTCGTTCCGCGGATAAACAGCTTTCACTCGCGCGCGTTCACGTAAAATAACGCGGAATCACTTGCCACCGTCGCGCTCACGAGGGCTCATCGTCATCTCGAAGAAATTCATAGGTAACCGAGCCTGCAACTATGCGCTCGAGTGCTACCAATTTTTCAAACTCGTTCGAAATAACAAGCGGCTTGGTGACGCTTAACGCAACAGTGTCGATTTTTTGCGCCGTTGTACAACCACTGCGTAATCGATTAGTCGACCTTTTCGAATGTGCAATCAAGGTAAAAAATTGCGAATTATTAGAAATTATTTCTACTCGTGGAATCCTTCCTCCAAAACAATATTCGGTTTTAAGCAAAATAATTGGGTTTTTTGTAACACTCGGAACGAAATCGATTGTCAAAAACTCTTTTGAGTTTTTTGCCCATGAGAAAAGCTGCTTTAAGTCGAATACTTAACAATTTCATAACAGCCAATTGTTTGATTTAACGACTACTATGTGCGGACACGTGAGAAAATTGAACTTAAGCATATTTTATAGTCAATCCGTTCTCGAGATCGTTGCGCAAGAACACGGTCATCAGTGGTTTTTTTTTTAATTTTGTTGTTTTGCTTGAACTCTCAGCAATTATGGTTCAAAGTATTTTTTTCTTTCGAGTGTTATCGTTGATTGGAATACTGTTACGATTCCAGCATCTATAAATTTAAAGAAAAAATATGATAAATAATGACGGCGTTAAAAATTATTGTAAAAAAAATCCAATTTTCCAATATAGTCTTTTTTTCATGTGCTTTAACGCAAGCTCTTCGCTTATGATAATGACATTTCGGAGCAGACCGGAAGGAATTAAAAATACAATGATTCGAAAGCTTATCTCGTTTGAAGAGAAAACGCAAGGGTTTGAAATTCACAACTTTGACCTTGATGTGGCAACCGAAAAGACTGATTAACAGATTACACGGTATCTGTCCATGAAACTACACGCACGGAGTTTCCGGATGGCGCTAGATTGTCTTTTCGTTCGATAGATCAACAGCTTTCAGAGAACATCCAAGCCGGGTATAAAAAGCGCGGAAGGGATAAAGAAGTAAGCAGGAAGCGGCAAGCTCGAGTCGAGGACTCTGCGTCCACCGATTGTCCAGGCAGGTCGAACGGACGAATGGCGGTGGCGGCGAGGGCCGCGTTGCTGAGCGGCATCGCGATGATCGCCTGCTGGCAGTGCGCGCCGAGCGAGGCGCTGCGGATCCTGGTGATATCGCCGCTGAACAGCAGGAGCCACGACGCCATGTCGGACCGGCTGGCCAAGGCGCTGGCGGCGCGGGGCCACCAGGTCGACGCCTACAGCCACCACCCGCCCAAGAAGCCGCTGGCCAACTACCGCCACCACAGCCTGGCGGGCACGCTGCCGGCCTTCACCAACAACATGAGCTACAGCGAGGCGCGCCAGTTCCGCGGCGACCCGCCGCGCCTCGTGTTCAAGCGCATCGTCGAGCCCGTCTGTGAGCTCATGGGCCTGCCCGTCTTCGAGCGACTGCTGCGCGAGCCGCCCAGGGACCCGGCCTACGACCTGGTCGTGCTGCAGGTGAGCCTCGATCCACGTCGGGCCGCCCGGCCCGTCCAGCGCCGAGACCTCAACGCCGACCGCTCGCGAGGCAGATGTTCGTCGCGGACTGCTACCTGGCCTGGGGCCGCCACCTGGGCGCGCCGCTCGTCGGCCTCTCGGCCATCTCCTCGCTCGACTGGTTCAGCGGGGCGCTCGGCAACCCCTTCAACGCGGCCATCACCCCGGCCTTCGCCACCGACCTGCACGCGCCCATGGACTTCTGGCAGCGCCTGTACAACGCCGCCTGGTCGGCCTTCGCCTCCCACAGCCTCGGGCGCATGTTCGCCGAGCAGCACTCGTTCGTGGAGCGCTACTTCGGCGCCGGCTACCCCAGCATCGAGGAGCTGCGCCGCGACCTGGACCTGCTCGTCGTCAACTCGCACTACTCGCTCGACGGCGTGAAGCCCCTCACGCAGGCCCTGGTGCCCGCCGCCGGCATGCACATCTCGCCGGAGGACAACGCCACGCTGCCCGAGGTCAGTCGCCCCCGCGCCCCCGGCTCTCAGCGCCCCTAACAGCCGTTGCCTGCGAGCGCAGCAAGTGCAGCGCTGGCTGGACGCAAGCGAGCACGGCTGCGTCTACTTCACCTTCGGCTCGATGCTTCGGATCGAGACGCTGCCGAGGGCGGCTCTCGAGGCGATCTACGCCGCCTTCGGCAACGTCGCCCCGGTGCGCGTGCTCATGAAGATCGCCAGGCCAGAGGCGCTGCCCCCCGGGCTCCCTGCCAACGTCATGCCGCAGCCCTGGTTCTCTCAAGTCCAGGTTTTCAGTGGGTCGTCGACGCTCTTGTCGCGCCGCCCTCGCCCCGGCCGTTCTCACGCGTCCCGTTCGTTTCAGAGCACAAGAACGTCAAGGCTTTCATCACGCACGGCGGTCTGATGAGCTCCATCGAGGCCATCAGCAGCAAAATCCCCATGATCGGCATTCCGATATTCGGCGATCAGCCCTACAACGTCAAGACGAACGTTCGGAAGGGCATCGCGACGTACGTCGACATCGACTCGATCACCGCGGACAAGCTTACTCGAGCGATCAAAGACGTTCTCGACGACCCGTCTTATAGGTAAGTGGCGGGGCCTCGGCCTTTCGCCAGCATTCCACGCGGCCACCTCTCGTGCAGGCTCGACTGTTGGTTTCGTTCGTTCCAGAGACAACATGAACAGACTGTCGGAGAAGTTTGTCGATCGACCGATGACTCCGCTCGACACGGCCATCTACTGGGTGGAATACGTCGCGAGACACGGCAAAAGGTGTCTGCGATCGCCACTCGTCGACATGCCCTGGTGGCAAGCTAACTTGCTCGACGTTTACGCGTTCGTGGCCTGCGTGCTTATCCTCGCTTATTACATCCTCAAATTCCTCGTCAAGAAGATTTGCGGTGTCTGCTGTGCAAGCAGGGATCAAAGTTCGTCGGGTAAACTGCAATCTAAAAAGAAGAGATAAGCTCCGGTAGCGTCATTTTGGCAGATTTTCTACGATTATGTTACCCGTGGATTGAACTTGGTGCTCACTCTTGTATGTGGTAACGGTACATTCGCCATCTCATGGTGGCATGAGAATTTCTTTCAGATCAAATATATGTATGACAGCGCACGAGTTTAATCAACATTCTAGTCTTGTGTAATTCACATTGACAAATACTACATTTCAATTTCCTAGCGAAAACCAATTAATTCCTAATATTATGCCTCCAAATAAAATGTCAGATTGCTGGACGAAGCTTTCAATAAATATACTCAAGTTGATGAGCATTCATTTGAATAATCTAGGATCTCAGAGAATGCGAACGTAGGCCTGCAGCGGTAATATCGGCTACAATTAATCAAAGCAAGGCCAGTAGCATTCGACGTGAATCGACATATCAGCTCTGCCGCAGCTGCTTGCTCGTTGCTCCTTTGATTCTATCGCTGCGGCACAGCCTGTCGTGCGTGAAGAGCCTTGCCCAAATCTAAGAATCGCATATCTCACGACACCCAGGCACAACTATCAATTTTCATTAGATCAGTACACTACCGTGCAGTGTATTCACAAGAATCCAACCAACTGTTCGAACGGAATCACATTTACTGAAATGAAGGTGAAAACTGAAATGAGTGTATATAATGCACCGCGCAAGTTCCATGACACGCTGTAAGTTTTATTTTGTCAATCTTTCTTCAAGGCTCCTTGCACCCCGTACTTTTTCGAGTACGAAAGTCCATAAAATTACTTAACTCGAACGATTTCCTAACGCACTTCGATTTGAGCAAACCAGTGCTTTATTTACTTAGCGTTTACTCAATTCCAGTAACTTTTTGAATTCGAGTAATCCAACATGAGAGCACGTCAGTACTTTTTTGGAAAATTAACGTTATTCGAATACCTTCAGATTTGATCTTAATAAAATTTTTTATATTAAAATTCGTATATGCAACCTTATGCATATATAAGCAATCGTTATTTTATTATAAGTTAAACTATATAATTCCATAGACAAGTGTCATCGTATTAATGGTTTTATAAATACATTATATAATTAAGTATAAACTGGTAATTTGAGATAAAAAAGAACAATTGTTTGTTCCTTTTCGACACTTGCGTGTTAAAGTGTCAAAAAGAAACAGACTATTATTATTTTCAAAGATAAGTTAGCCAACCCAACCCCTTACAAAAAAGTAATGAGTGCCACGTTGAAGGATTTTGTTCGTGATCTAATTGACTGAAATATAGTCACATGATATACATGATATACTGTTATTGCGACAAATAAGCATGTCGACGTGGTTTCAAGTTAAAATTTTAGTAATAACAAATTCAATTTATCATAATTGATATAGATAATTTTGAAGATAATGAAAATAAAATATAGGCTACAATATTATTGTTTTAACACTTATTTCATGAAACTAACAGCGAGTAAATTGTTTGGTAAAAGTAACAGGTTATTATGCTTTGGAATTATTCTCATTATTTTCTGTTACAAATCGATAATCTTATATTTAAACGTGTAAGATTGACAAAAATGTTGTAATGTCGCAATCTTTATTCAAAAACTAGGATAAACGTTTAATAGCAATTTGACCCGTATAGTTTAAAAGAACTATAGAGATTGTTTATGACAGTTTTCGATGTGATATATCATGAATTCGGAATACGCGGAACTGTTTTACTAATACACCTTTCCACAGTGATATATGTTTTGTAAACAAAATTGAAAAATCCACCTTTGAAAAAAGTGATTTGTGTTGAATATGTTAATCAATGTGACAAGAAATGAAAAAGAAAATGAAAGCACGCAAACTGCGTTTTATGTCCCTAGTACAGTAAAATATTTCTGAAAACAATATCTCATATTTATCTCGTACATAATATGACTTATGGTCAAAGTTGAGAAAAATTGACTGCTTTGAAAGGCGCATTTTTATATATTTACATACAGACGCTTACTAGCATTTTAACCTGTAAGATAGATGGAATTGATACGAAACAATATCCAATACGAGACTGTCCAAATTTTGAATTGAACGGCGTTCTATAATGGTACGGCATTGCGCTATCAGTCAGTGACAATTTCATTAATTTCATTTTGCGCCCTAACGATCGCATTTTTCAGTTCTTCCGAATTCTCTTTCAACCTACCATTCTATTCGTCGCGATCATCAGATATTTTCTGATACGTTAATAAACCAAACGATGTCCCAATTACTGTCGTTCGAATTTATATATCCAATTTGAAAGCACAACGGCTGTATTAATCATAAATTTTCCATATACACTGCTATAATAACGTCTTTTTATGTTGCAATTTTTTATTTCTGTGTATAGCCAAAGAGAAAATTTGACAGTTAACGAAAAGAAATATTAAAATATTTCAGTTATCAAAGTTATTAACAAGTCGATTTTGGTTTTATTTCTAAAAATCAATGCGTTACTCAACTACGGCGTTGCTATTTAGTAGTAATTAGCTTATAGTACTAAACACGAGAAATATATTTATGTAATTAATTTATAATTCACGTGGGTGACAACGCTTTTTTTTTAATAGCCCAATATCGGGTAAACTTTCTTGGTAGCCCTGGGAAAAGGAGGTTTTTAGAGTGCTCTAGCTTGACCTTCATATCTTTAAATCAGTTGGGCGAAGTTTCAGTTTAAAGCTACAAAATGACTTTTATATAATGGGGCCTCATACTTTGACCGAGCAGTTCGCGTATAGCAGCCTCGCATTGAGTTCGCTTACCATATATTGAATTTTTGAAAAAACAGTTAATGTAGTTAATGCAATGCCCCCAAGCGTTCTAAAGTAAGAAGAATTTACTTATGTACATATTTAAAAGAACGAGCAATGCGAAATATGTTTTGGAATCGGGCAGAGCTTGCAGTCACTTTGTGTACGCCAATGCATATATTGAGTGGGCCTGTAGCTGACTATAGTTAACATTGCGCAGGCTGAGGATAAGTCAAGGTAGAAGATCACGCCTGAACGCTTAAAGATAGACGCAACTACCAAGATATCCTGTTGAAGCTCACCGGTCAGATTGCTTATGACGAGCCTATTGTTCGTCTGGAGCAATATTTATCTGGATTTATTGAGACATAGATCAGCACTAAACGCGGCATAGCAATCATGTTAATGACTTCCAATGAATTATCTACTTACAAAGTTACTGTCGATTATACTCGATTATTAAGTTATACTCTCTGCTTTGAATGGTGTAGCCAATTTGGTTTCTTTCTTCTTAAAAAGACATCGAACTTGGATTTTCAGTGTTTTACATTACTAATTTTGTACAAAGCTTCATTGTCAAAATTTCAGGAATGATTTTGCCGTAATAAATATCTGAAGAATGTGCAGTATTCAATTGTCAATCAGAGTAGTGCACTTTGTTCAATTTTTTATTATTGTGACTGTTCTTGTAAAACGTTATGAATGGAAAATTAGCTCGAAAGATACTTCAAAAGAATTTTTTTTTTGACATTATCCATTCTTCTTGACAAAGCTCAATAATCCGTAAAAAGTTGATTTTTTTCTAAATTGAATATGAAAATACCAATATCTTTTCTAGATTTATTGTCAGCATCTAAGGAGTTATTTCTCTCTTAACTCCATACATAAGAAGATTACTTTTGCTTCAGAAGGCTACTGGGCATTGCATTTCTTAATTGAATGCTTTCTAATAATTTAGTGGAGGTAAGCATGCTAGTTGTCTGTACTCAACTTTGACTAGTAGTTCTTACCGTCAGACGCTGCGAGCACGCAAATGTACATGTATGGTACCGAAAGCTGCAGGATCCCATCCTTGGGGCGCGCACGCGTTTTGAAGGTCGGTCAATTCTATTTTTAATTGCCTTGCCGCTCGTTTCGCGTCCCTCGCCTTGATCGTCTCTTAGTTATTGAATCGCCCAGTCCGTGTTTAATAGTTCATGTACACTGCTCCAAAAACTACTTGGTTCTTGCTCCGTGCACTATTTGGCAATTTGAACAGTCGATTCCAGGTAGGTATGATTACAGATAGCAGTCGTTTGGTTTCATCACGCGCATACATTACTTTCGACGTATATTTTCGTATATATGCACTGATTTTCAAACATTATAACTTTTTTAACTCAAACGATTAGAATTATTGTTGCAAATTTATTCGACTCTGATATTCATTTCATATGTTAGTGATAGATTCCTTTCCCTTTTTGATATATTTATAAATAACGTGGACGTTTTAAGTTATATATCAAGATTTCTTGTTTCTAGACTGTAGATTCATCCTCCGATCGAATGGAATTCCGAACACAAATGTGCACAAACGAAATGCGAATCGTATAAGAATATGGGGAAAATAAGTAAATTTCACTGTTCAATAGGTTTATTCAACTTATCGTTGTTTCGAAGTGAGCATCGATTGTGAGGACAAACCCTCGGTATAGAGACGATCCTGTTCGAGAATAAATCTTCATTGTAGAAGCGACGTTGATACGCAACTCGAAACATTTAGAATGCTGAGCAATGTATTTGAACAGGTTGAAAGCAACAATTGTACTCGTTCGATCCCCAATTCGGAAGCGTTGTAGAAGTTTCTCTGCTTGGGCGCCGAAGCGCCTCGAACCGTAAGGTGGACGTGTGATATTCGGAAAAGTGGCGGAAGACCGCGGCAACTGTCGCGGCACGCTGATCCCGCTGACCAACGGCACGAACTACAGCGGCGTGCTGGAGCTGAAGACGCTGCGGGTCTGCACATCGACGACAGCGACGCGACCGAGCGTTCGGCTCGATGCTCGGGTGCGAATCGCTGTCGCGTCTGGCCATGCTGGTTTTGTACGGCACCTTCGTCGGCTCTGTTCCCGTGTGCCACCTCCTCGAGGTCGCTCGGCTTGCCCTCCAACGTCACGATTCGCTCCTCGCTCCCGCAGCTGCGCGTCCTCGGTGAGCCGCCAGCCGCCTTCCTTGCCTTTCAAAGCACAACAACACCCGGGCCTTCGTCACTCACGGCGGCCTCAACACTGCGCCGTGCCCATGGTCGGCGTCCCGATCTCCGGCGACCAACACAGCAACGTCAACGTCAACACGGAGAAGAGCATTTCCACGGTGATCCGAGTCAGCCGGATGAGCGAGCAGACGCTCACCGCTGATAGTTGCCCTCAAGGCCATTCTCAAGTGAGCATCCTCCTTGCCGAACTTCTCTTCTCCGTCTGACGCGCGTTCGCTCGCGCTCGCTCGCATTTTCCAGGCGGAACATTGAAAAGTTGTCCGACCGACCGATGAAGCCACTGGATGTAGTTAATTACTGGGGGTGGCTTACGTCGCTAGACACGCAAGGCAATGTCTGCCCTCGCACCTTTCCAACGTGCCCTGGTGGCAAGCTGATTTGCCCGACGTCTATGCATTCATAGCTTCCGTACTTGTCCTTATCTCTTACGCTTACAAGCACTTGACCCAACTGGACTGTAAAAAGAACTAAAGATAAATCTAAGCGATGCCAGAAATAAGCTTCAACTTCAAAAAGATGCAATAGTACTTATCCTCAGTCTTTTTACTCATGCTAAAATGTTTACGTGCACTTATAAATCTCATCATTACCCTGCTCAATTATGGTCAATAAAATTGCATTACACTGCCTCTAAGCCAAAGGAAAGATTCGCTTTCTTTCGTTTGATACATGAAAACTCGGCAAATCCCATAAAATAACACTTTTTCAAAGAAGTAACCTATTAGAAAAATTAAACTAAGACAGGAAAATGTTTTTTATAATACAATATATTCATATTCTGTGTTTCAATATTTTATTTCACATTTTCTATCCATTTGATAACATCGACGCGCTCGCTTTAATTTAGTCATCATTGACTAACAATGAGTCAATTTTACAAAAACTCAATTTCTTGTCATGAGAAATCAACCTTCAGCACAATAATCAGATTACATTCATATCTATATAAAATTTTCAAAATTCATCTGTTAACTTGCAATTTTTTGAGCGAATAACAAAAGTAATTAATTACAGTCACAAAAAGTATCTACGATCGCTGTGAGATTCTGTTTCAAAATGAATCCAAGACAAACTTTAACGTTATTGTTATAAACTACTATCTAAATGCTTTAATAGCATGAATAGACCTCCGTAACTTAATCAAGTTCCCATCTGCCGATCTTGTTACACTCACTATTTGGTAAGATAATGTTATACAATTTGAAATTACAACTTAATTTACTAACGATTTAAAAATAATAGATCCGCAGGGTTTTTAGTGAATAACTTAAACAAATAAAATCGTACGATGTTGGGACTTGTATGACATCGAAGGAAAATGTTTTGGCATCAGCATAAGCTTGCTTGCGCTTTAGTTAAGATTGTTAAGACAAGTAGGCGACATGAAATGTGGTACAATGTATCAAACAAATTTATTCATTTTTGAATGAATAGCAGACTTTCATAGTACGCTACCAAATATGTACTAATAATCTTAAAGTTGCAAGCAAGCTCATGCATATCATGCAATTTTCGTTGCTTTTTTTTATTCGAGTTATTTAGTCAAAAAATAAAGGTTCCTATTATTTTCAAACCTATAGTAATTATAGTAAATGTATGAAACACCTGAAAACATCGGATAATATTTTTAGTCGATTTCCTCCAAATTATTGTTTGCATAAATAAAATTTTCCTACAGACGATAAATAGAAATTTGACAAATAAATACACTATCATTTCTTTTACTTGTCTTATTAATTATAATATTAATTTTAGTCGAATCAATATTGCGATAATTAAATTTCAATCTTGACAGACGATTATTTTAAATAAATATACTATCATAAAACGAGTTAACTAACGTCAGTAAAAATATACTAAAATACTAAGTATTTGACGTAATAAAATACAATTCGTCGTTACTCAAATTACCCAAAATTTCTCGTACAACTACTATTGGTAGATGACGATATTTCAAAATATCAAATAGTGTGACTTCTGCATTATCCAAAAGACCTCGCCTCAGATAGCTTATATTGAATCGGTGCTGAAGCATTGCACCGAAAATTTCAAATTCTACTAGAACATTATCGTTAGATTGAAAAGTTTTTATAACATCTTCTCGTCTGGTATAAGCGGCAATTTGATTGCAATTTTTCGTTATAAAATCAAAATAAGATAACTCTAAAAGTTTTTTACTTTTCATTAGCCTCACTTCACTTTCACACTGTTCAATGTATGAATAAAGAGATAAATAGTACTGATGTACAATTGAACTACTATTCAACATGGCTAACAGAGACTTAACTACTGTTAAATTTCCTAGTGTGATGTAAGAATTGGCAGAAATTAATTTTGATACATGTTTTAGTAATACAATAGCTCCAATTTTGAGATCTAATATTGTGAAAAAGCAAGAAAATTCAGAGTCGTAGTGTTTTTCATCATTAAAAGTCTCGTCATTATTTTCAGCCCCAGAAAATTCATTGATTCTATTATAAATACAATTAAGTGGTGTATTTCCTTCATTATCTATAGCATTAATATCTAAATGCAAATCCAAAAGAGCTTGAATAACTGCTATGTTACCCACTTTAGTTGCATAATGTAACCCAGTTCTGCCATTTGCATCACATACAGGACTTTCACCATCATAACAAGATAATAAAATGTCTGTACTAAGCATTACAATATCTGATTCTTCATTATCATCAAAATTTCCACCTATACTCATGACATTGACATTCATTAAGTCAACATCATGCTCAGATAATAACAGTTTAAACAAATCAAAGTTACGATTATTGCTGTTCTTGATGCCTCTTTCTTCCGCATATAGACTCATGATTTTGGTAATAATTCTTAACATTTCAGTTTGCTTAGCAGTAAATGGTTGCCAATGTAACTGAAAAGATTCGTACCAATTTTTTACATAAATAAAAAGTGCTCTTTTAACATTAACAAATGATATTGCTAAATCTTCTAAGCACAGTAAAATAGAAGCCCACAGTAGAGAAGAAGTTAAATTATCAGTGTTATTCACTTTAAAACCATGCTTTAGCATTGTTCTGATAATTTTTTCTTCATCAAATGAATAATTAAGTAAACTTTCATAAAATTTCTGTCTCACAATACTAATACTAAAGTCTGGATTATACTGCAATAAAAGTGCAACTATCTCTGGTGATCCTATGCTTATGGCAGAAGATAATGCTGTATTACCATCAGCATCTTCTATATTAACACTAGCACCAGTTTCTAAAAGTACGGCAACAAATTCTTTATCTCTCATCCGAACTGCAACATGTAACAAAGTGTCCCCATTTTCAGATAACTGATTCACATTAAATTCTCTCACAGATTCTGGAATTATTGGTACATCATTGGCCTCCATATTGCTATCGTTACAGTTACTGATTCATGCTTTTCCTTTTCTGAAATTGGCAATTCCATCAGATACTAGTCATTATATTAATATTCTCTTTTTTTCAATTTTGTCATCAAATAAGCAACCATCGTTTTAATTATTTATCTATCTTAAAGTATTTATGTAATATAACCAGATTATTATTTGATGAAATAACCGAAACTTAAAAGATTTTACATTATCCACCTTTAATATGAACTTTAATTTTCAGATACTTACATAAGATATTTATAAAAATAAGTGAATCAATTATTTTTTACAGTTTAATCTTTTTGATAAATCACTGGAAACTCATTTTGAATATAAATACTTTATTTTTAGGTAGATGGCTTAACCTATTTTTCGTTTGTTTGCATATGTATCATCAAGCATGTTCATGCGTATATGTATGTGTGCATTCGTAAACTCAGTTTATTGAGTTTATTCTTGATATTCGTGTAAGATGTAGCCAGGCTAAGATATACAATATTCAGACAAATACATTGTGCATACACGCGTACATGAACATTATACACACATCTAATTTCATGTAAACTGCTGTTGAATTTTCGGATTTTTCCACATGCGCAAGCGCTTTAGTATCCAATCAAATGAGACTTACGCGTTAGTACGCGTTACTGCTGCTACCTAAATTGTATACTATACCTACCGCATCAATCGTCAATACCGACAAAAGCAAAATGAAAACTATATACCAATTAAATGTCACTACCGTTAATTAAAGTGGTTTTAGTTTACGGTTATAGCTATCGTTTAAGATTTTTCATCTTTTCGTATAAGACTTTTTTAAATTATATTCATTGGTGTAACTATAATAAACTGGAAATTTATTTCTTAATATTGTTTACATCTTCATTTCTAGCTGACATCAAACTAACTGTTTTTTTTGTCACGAATAAGTTTGTCAAAAATACCATCAACAAAGCTTGTTATAGATGGTAATGTGCAATGTTAAAGAATATCGATATAATCACCTGTATCATGCAATGTATCATTTGCTATATTTAACAAAAAATTCGAAAATTCAATTTCATTTGATGAAACTCGTATTAGTTAACTTAAGTATGAATTGTATAATGCTTCCACGATGAACTTTATTTTACGGATGAATTTAAAACTTTATTTCTTGTTCCTCTGACTTTAATAAGTATAAGAGTTGTTTACAATTACCACTTAAAATCGTAATTTACCTACCAAATAGTAAATCATTTCTCATAATACATTATGAGAATTTATTTGCAATATCTAAAACGTATCTAGGAGCTATTGAAGCTTCATTTCAAATAATTACTTTTCTTTTGCTTAATTTTTCAGTCTCTCTTAATAATTGTGTTTTGATATTCGATAAAAAATAGAACAAAAGATCCTTAAGTGTTTGAATGTCAGCGTAAATAATTTTATCAATATCAATTCATAATAAAACAATCGAAAAACTTTCTATATGTCTTCTTAGTTTTCCAAGCAACAAAATCAATCTCTTATTTGTAGTATATACTACCTTTATTACAAACTGTTTCAGTTGAATAAAAATTACACGTGAATAAAATACAAATGTATATAACATCAAAGTGCAATAAATTGTTAATTTTCTAACACGTACAATAGTTAGCTGGCAAATGAGCACGCATTTTCGTTAGTGTGGGGTGAAGGTCATACTCAAAATTCAAACTCAATTATGAATTTTATAAGTAACACAACTAATTTTATATGATATTGATAATTTTTCTATAATTTTTATATTAATCATATAAAGGAAAGAATAAATTTATATCGAAATCATAATCTAATCATAATCTAATGTTATTTCAAAAATTTCGCACTAAATTACGTCAATTCGCGTATAAGCCAATCAAATGTCTAAATTCCCATCTTCAGCCGACCAATCAAAACGTTTACAGGTTTCACTTTTCAAGATTCCCTTTGTTAAGAAGAAAAAAAAAGGAAAAGCATACTAATAATAATTAGTAACTAGTAATTATTATGCGTTAAACTCTTGTCAATTTGTACATACAAAGTATATAAATAATTTCCGATTCTCGCGCCAAATCATTACGTCATATCAGCAAGCCAATCACATACCATAACCTCGATTTTCAACACCAATCATAATCAATATAGCCTTCACTTCTCATCATTCTCCTTTTTAGTAAAGGTAAGTAAAAAACAAAAAAAAACACTAAATTATTGACTAACAGTACTATAAACAAGTCAACGCATATGTACACATTGTAAGTTCTAGGTTTTATCGTTACCTACGGTTGGCTACTACTTTCAGTACCAAAACCCCCCTCTATATATATATATAACTACTGCAACACCGCCGCACGCAAGCCAACAATAATGCCGAGTGCCGACGCTTAACACAGCACAACGCGCGATTTGCGGAGTTCGAATTTAGATTGTACGTTATTAATTGATCATAGAATATTTTCTTACTTTGAATATGAGTTAAAAGATTGAATTACAGTAAAGATGATCTAATGTTTCTAATTTAATATAGATCAACGTTTACTTTTATGTTTACTCAATCGTATGATGTAAAATTCAAGTGGCATTGGTGTTATAGGTTAGTTGCTTCACTTTCGTATTCTAGCAATTAACAATAATATTGACGATGATTAACAACGTCATTTGCTTTTTTCATTTTCGTAAATTTGATTTTAATTTTTCATTAATATTTCAGATATATTTCTGTTTTAAAATAAACTTAACTTCAAAATTTAATAAGTCAACAAAATGCCGCGAAAAGCAAGAGTAGATGTTAAAACCATGTTTGAAAAACTCAAAGATTTACCAATCTTTGATGAAAAAGGAGAATTAAGAAAAAGAACACATCCAATATGGAAAGAAGCTGGTAAGAAGATTCCAGAAATGACTATTCACAATATGCACATCTTTATACATCAGAATAGAAAAAATTTAAGAGCAGACATCATGAAGCATCAGAATATTGAAGGCCGTATTCCTCCACCAAAAAAGAGCGTCAAAGAAGAACAAGGTGGAAGGCATGGCGAGATTTGGGATGATTATGATTATTACGATACATTGGATGCAGAAGAAGAAAATGTTAGTGATTTCTATGCTTTGATATCTATGCTGAATAGTGATCAATTCAAGGATGTTATTTGCAAATTATCAGTTAAACCATTCTCTGTTCTTTATTGTCATCCTGATCAAGTTGTAATGTGGAATGATCTAATCAACATCGAATCTACTGCATCTCTAATAGTATTAGATAATATGGTTTCTAAAATTGTTGAAGATTTTGAAAGCAAAAATGTCTTTGTCTGTGGTTTAACTGTAAAAATAGAAAATTCTATTGTATTATTAACTCAAATGTTAACAGATTCAATTACTTCTTCATCCATACAATTGTTTCTTAATTCTTGGTTGGAAAACAGAGCAATTGCACCACCAGAAATAGTTCTACCTTACTCACATTGCATATTGAATGCTGTATCATTAACTTTCAATGTATGTACACTGGAAATGTATAATTTAAGGTAATATTACATTATATTTTACATTCATTACATAATATTTATTACAATAAATGAAATTTTGTACGATACTTTAACATTACTTATTTCAGGTGTTTTCAATATTTGACAAATGAAATAACAGAGTTACCACCCACATTAGTTCTAGTAGATCTCGTTGGACTAATTAAAGTGGTAGACAAATGGCAATGTTTTGACAACATTTTGCAATCAGTTAAAGATTTTTATCTTTGTAGTATAATGTATTTGAGCACAGTAGATAGCTTGGATGTATTCAAAGATGCAGTTGTAAATATTTTAACTTTGTGTCAAAGTCCATATGAAAATGCTGAGACAGAATCAATAAGAACAGAATTATGGATGCACTTAACATCAGATGCAATTCAATATATGAATCAACAGTATTTAGAATTCATGACTGGAAAATATGGACCTAAAAGTTTCTCTTTTTTGAATTTGCAACAAGAATCCATGATTAGCAATGAATCAGATCCTGTTTACAATTTTATAAACCAATTGAAGCAAGAAGCACATGAAAAGTGTGATTTTACTTTGGATGTTGAAAAAAAACCAAATGATTACTATTGTCCTATTGTTCTAGAAGATTTGACTAATCTGTTAGTAGAATTTCCATCGTGGACACAAGTAATATTAAAAAAGAAGAAATATTCTACTTTAGTGTCTATATCTTCAACCAAACATTTGTCTACATTGCATGAATTGAAAAGGCCTGTAACGGCTCCTCAATTCTTAGTGTATCACTTAGAAAAATTAGACAAATTGACGTCAATAGGGAAGCATACGGTCCAAATTGCAAAATGTAAAAATAAATACAAAGTGAAAGAACGACAAAATAACCATAATTATTTATCACAGTTAATCAGTTCTTCCAAACCTTTATATGATAGTAGGATTGAAATAAGTATACCTGAAGAAGAATTGCAAGGCATGGATAGTGATAGTTTGAATCCTATTGATAGTATTCAAGAAGTTAATCATGAAGATGATAATGAAATGGATCATGACTATAGTAATAATATCGATGAGAGACCAGACGATGTTGAATTAGATTTAGTTGCTTTTAAAAATACACTACAATCTACAGTCAACCTATTACAAGATTTGGACGAATGTGTAGAGAATTTGAAAGCTCATGTAAAATCAGGAGATGAAAAAAGAGTTTGTAGGGCTATACTAGATTCTTGTGCAGTAATGACTTCATACAACCATGTTTTTGGAAAGATATCTGAGGTAATATGTCTTATTAAATATGAACTAACAAATATAAAAGTGAACATACGTAATGTTTATATATCTATATTTTGTTTTCAGAAATTTTGCTCAACTAATGATGGTTTTATAACTTCATTTCAAAAACTATTTCTAGAATTTTTTAGAAAAGTTGATTTGCAAGACAAAAATACTGTTGAAAATGTTGCTAAATTATTTGCTCATCTTTTGACGTCAAATTCTATTACATGGGATGGTTTATCCCATTTGAAACTGACCATAAAAGATACCGTGGGTACTAAAAAAATTTTTACAGAAACTCTTTTAAAAGAAATGTCGGCATTAGTCGGACCTGAAAAATTAAGACATTTATTTAAAAAAAAGTAAGTCATGGAAACAGTTATATCTGTAGATATAGGTAGATTATAATATAATTTACAGCTCAAATAAATGCGTACATAAATATTTTGTTGCAGAAATTATAAATTATTATTCAAAGGACTATTTCCAACTAATCTTAAAGACTTAAAGTTCGCCTTAAATTTCTATAAATCAAATAATTTGAAAGAATTATGGTAAAAATTATGCTCACTCATATGTAATAACTATATTAATAATCTAATAATATGCATTCATTAATTTTTTATTTAGTAAATTACTCAAAACTAATAATAAAACTGGTGGAACTGACGGTGAATCATCAACTTTAAGGCGCTCTTCAAGCAACTCCAGTTTATCTTCTACTGCATCGTCTAATGATGT